ATATTAACTTTTATATCATAAACTATAAATTAACAGTGTGCATATTTTTGAAGACTATGAACGCTATTAATTTATATAATAGATCATAGCCGTGGGAAAACAAAGATAAATGACAATCTTTTGTAAATAAGGCAAAAATACTTTTCCGATTTTTAATTCTTATAAATCGATTAAGGATGTTCGCTCCTCTTTATTTTGAATTTTTGCCAGATATTAAGAATCATCTGGTTTTAATTTATGAAGGGCCATTACAAACTTGGGCAAACCTTGCTTTTCTTTTCATAATTTTATTACATTTAGTTTAAAAAGCCATATTTGAAAATGTAATAAAATCCTTGATATTGTTTCATAATTTATGAAAGAAAAATATTGTTTCATAATTTATGAAAGAAAAAAGGTGCCAATGTTAAATGTATGAAAAATCGAGACAGAATAATTTCCTGACAAATTCAAATGGCTTCTATTTCGAAAACAAGCACACAGACCCTTAATTTTTTCTGCGTATTTAGTTCCTTTGTTTATATGCTTTTAAAAAGCTTGTTATTTTGAAAGAGAGTAGCGGACATCCTTTAAAAGATGGCAAAACAAGGTAACAAACTTGAAATGAATGAATTGCATTAACTCTAAAAGTAGTAAGACAGGGTACATCACAGGGTAAACGTCTCCTGCTATCATGAATCCCCCGCCATGCCAATCAACGCTCAGCCAAAATATCACAATTGGGAACACAACACATACCCAATATTAAAGTGAAGAGTTTATGCTGGCATATTTATTAAGAATTAATATGAGTTATTTCTTTCTCAGCTTCTTTCTTTGACAAAAAAAAGTCCCAATTTCAGATTTGTTTTTAATAATCAAATTCATAAGTAAGTGTAATCCTTCATACAAATTTGAAACAGAATCTGATAAAAAGTGACGGCGCCATCATGACCACAAAAAAAAGTGACGAAAGAAACAATAAACAGTACTTTTCCAAGTCTGAACAATCTATGAAACAGAGACATGTAGTTGTACCCGAAGAGTAAGCAGCTTAAAACCATATTTCCGAACTATCTAGTTATTCATATAATAAGGCAAACACAGGTCAATGATAAGAACATGAACATACAATATACGTTGGTCGACTAGTTTAGAAAACTAAGTAACACTTAAAACTATCTGGTTTTAGTTTTATAAAAATATACTGTGTGTTGTAAAGTTTTTATAGAAACAATGATCTCATGCGTACCGTAATCAATACATATCTAAGCATAGATTAAAACCAGTGAACCTTAAACAATGTTTATAATATGTATGCTAAAAACTTACAATTGGAAACTCGCAAATATATGCCTCGTTTGAACTTCCAGAACAATTATCAGCGTCCCATTCAAATACACGTTTCTCCACATCCCACTCAAGTTCGAAACAATTTTTATTATTAAAATGAGGGTTACCTTTCAATGCTAAAAAGAAAGCTTAAATGCATTAAATGTCAAGTGCAGCATTTTTATAACGTTGATAGAAAAAAAAGACTTTCTTGTTCATCTCTATATGATTTATTTTTATATTGAATGACAATACATTACATTTGAAGTATGCATATCTGTTATAATACGAAGAAAGCTAACTTAAGAACATGGCATATGATCACATAGGACAGATGAACATTAAGGTAGGGAGGATAGCTATGTTGAAAGCTGTTTAAATAGAACATGTCAGATTAAAATGTGAGAAATAATCTGAACATTGATTGATTTTGGAACATTCAAATACAAAATTATAGATGAATTTATAGATCTTCCTATAACAGTTCAGTTTTCAAACAGTTTCAGACATTCCATAGCTATTTTTCAACCCGAATACGTTAACAGATGTATTGATATTCATTTGCATAAGGTCTATTTCTATCCGACGCAGCTTATGTTTAAATAAGTTTCCTTGTCAATTTCTTAGTTAGGCGACATTTTCCTGCGTACTACTACAGTTAATTGTTAATGTATATCGAAGCATAACCATGTGAATACACCATTAGACATCTGTACAGTATGTTTACACCATTCATTCTTTCTTTTGGTTTTGTCCTTACAAATTATTTATAAAACAATAAATTTTCCCCAACATATTTTCAGTACTTGTCTTCTCCAATTTTAATGAAATTTTAACTACATGTCTCAAAAATATATTCATATTGCAACTGTCAAATAATTTTGAAATTTAAATATTCAAGATTCATGATTTATTTATAAACCTCTACCATCGTTAGCGGTACATAAAACAATACTGGTTATTGAATTAGAATCTCTAAATGTCAATGCATGTATAAATTTATTTCAAATTTCATGAAATTCCCAGTTATTTTTTTTTAACTAAAAATAGATAATTGTGTTCATGAATAATGTATAAGTTTATAGAATGGTTAATATACATACGTATACCATATGGTAGATTGTCCTGGTCAAATGGGTCATTAGTTACTGAATAAACATAACTGTATCTGTCAGCTAGATTGTTTGCTCCAGTGAAAACGTCAAAATTCTCTAAAATCCCTTCAAAAGATAATAATAGACTGACAACTTATAATACATCATAAAAAAGGGATCTTTATTTGCATTACGGTATCAGATTTGAAACATGTATTTGTAATGTAGTTATAAATGTAATTTCTCCATTTTGTGTACCTCTAAAGTCTCAACTTTTAATTTTATTTTGTACATTCATCAAAAGTTTTTTTGTCTATAAATTTTTGATGAATATTTTATTTTTGATATGAGAATATACAAATCGAGCTGCATCAATTGTCATTTAAAATTTTATAACAGAAATGCCAGTAGTTATGATACTACTTGTATGTCTGAATTAATACTTTTTATGATTCTTATAATTAGGGAGATAAAAGGAACTTATTTGTACTATTAATAAAACGAGAATAAAGAAGAACACAACCCGAATAGGACTTAGCTATGGCTTTAACCTAGGACAAAACATATTATTAAACTTCATGTCAAAATGCCAGATTTTGATTGGTTAATACGAGGGAGACAATTTACTCTATCCCATGGCAAAAACTCTATTACCCTTCACGGAGACGCTTGCTCAAGTGTGCGCTTTAATAAATACGGATGATTGTTATGTACAAGACAACAAAGTTTATTACTTTGAATCTGAAATTTAATAGATAGTAATAACAGAACATTCAGTATAATAAATTAAATAGCACATATCTGAGAGGGTGATAGAGCAGATTGTTACCCCTCGCAAAAGGCATTGTCAATCTTGGCTTCGCCTCAGTTGACAATGTTTTCTCGGGGTAACAATCTGCTCTATCACCCTCTCAGCTATGTGTTATTTATATACTATTCCCATGTTAAACCGAGGCTACCATTTCAACACAAAATTATTCTAATTATTGAACTGCCAATGTATTGCAAATATATAAGGATAATCACAAAATATCCATCAGTTACTCAGCATGAACTGTGGAAAATTAAAAATATTTAAAAAGAAAAAAAAAACACGGCTTCATACTACATTTTATGACATTTTTATGACAGGTAAATGACAATGGTTGAACTTATTATTCGAAACGCATACTATTAATTCAGGTAACTTTAGTGAGCAAGCTCATATTTCTCACCCCCCAATGTAAAGAGGACAGATGAAATTAACCTGATATAATACTGTTTCATCTGTTTACTTTCAGATATGATTCCTTTCTGTAATGGTTTCAAATAGTACTATTGTCTTGCATAGATCAGTTTTAAGCAACATACACCTTATACCTAGTTACTTCCAAATCAATAAGTAGTCTACCTCTTAATATACGTGACCCCAAATCCTAAAATGGTTGCAATCCAAAATGAGATATTTGATTTAGCATTTGAAAACCACCTTTTTGCACAAATTTTGTCTTTTTAAGTAACTATGGCACTTACCATAAACCTTAAGGGATAACAAAAAATCAGTAGGGATCTACGTCTAATTATATGTGACCATTTATCTGAGCAAGATTTCAACCTGATATCAAGTATGTGATCTTGCACCAAAACGACTGACGGACGGTTAATTAAGAAATGACTGTAATATTTTTTCTGTCTATGAAGAAATAACATCAAAAATGTGGTGCACACTGAATAACCCGCGTAGCGGGTTATTTTAAAGTGTGCACCACATTTTTTATGATGACGTCACGGTCACATGACAAAATTATGTCTATGAGCTGATAAACAAAATAACGTCAGCCAATCAGAAGATGCGTTACATCCAATATTAAATTATTGGAAAATGTGGTAAAAAGTTCAACGAAACAGTAATAAAACAACACAATAACCAAAAGACATTTACAAAACTATGTAATAGACTAATACAACTACTTAAGGTAGATGGGGTGTCTAAATTATAATCCATAGAATTTTTTAATAATTTACCAAAATGTAGTTTATATCATGCTTTTTAAAAAAAATAATAAAAGGAATGGGTCAAGGGGCTTATTTTCACGCTACAGGTTGCGATAAATTGACAGATTTTGTAACGATTATGCATGGAAAACCCAATTTTCTGCCATAAAACGAAAACTACACCATAGAATTTTGAGATAAAATATGAGAAGATAGCTCTACTAGTTTGATTTCAGATAAGAAAAAGAAAAAATGGGGTCACGGGACCCGTTTTCTTGCTACATAATAAAATAGGTAAATTCCTAACACATTCTATTGTAAAAGTAACTTTATCTGAATTATCTGCCCTTACATTTGAGTTGCCTCCCCTTATGTGGCAAAGTTGGAAAAAATACAATCAAACAAAAGTATTCTGTTTTTTTGTAAAATACAACCATAAATATGATAAAATAGGTCATTTTCTATATTGAAATGAAAATTCTTACACATGAATTACCTACTACTCTCAAAATTTGCACCTTTTATTTAAGATCTAGACCGATTGTTTTCTGGTATTTCAAAATCCAAGATGGAGGAAGACACCCTATCTACCTTAAGACAGAAAATGGGACAGTTGCTTACCAAATACATCAAATTTGACTAAAACTGCTTCAGCCTCTTCTCTTGTTTCTGGAATCCACAAGTAAGCACCAGGAGTACTGGTGCATATCGCCTAGACAGAAAAAAAAAAATAAAACATGCAAATCATTTTAAAATGTTCTTGACTTAAGAAGAGTCATATTTTTGAAAACGTATATCTTGTTTTGACATCGCAAATAGTGCATTTTTATAGTTTCTAGAGATGACAAATTCTATTTGATGTTCTGGTCATAACAACAAATACTAGTGCGAACTGTCCATATCTCTTGTACACACCCATACATCCGTCATACAATGGAAAAAAAATTAAGAAAAGTCTTGTTATTATTATTTTAAATACGACAATGTGAAAGCCAAATTGCAACATCAAATTTAATTTTGCAGTTGATCTCCTGAATAGCTCATATTGGATGTGACAATATTTTATATTTTTTATTCAACATGTTGATAATTTCATAATATCGGCAAAAAGAAATATCGTTTGTTGTCTGAAAAGTATTCTCGCGTTACCACTTACGACTGTCAAACTACAGACATAATGTGAAGTAATTCTGTTCAGAAGTAGCTGAATAAAGTATGACAGAAATTAATGTTGAACGAAAAGACGAATGAACAAAAGGGCAGAAAATCAAATACAATATAACTCCCAATTAGGTAAAGTATAAATTTATAGTTTTAGTATAAATGAACTACGATTTCAATTAATTACATTTATTAGTATACACAACTGGAAAGTAACTCTTAAATAATCGCTGTCAAAATAAAATTTTGATCTGACGACTATGTTCCATGAGTCGATTGAAATAACTATTATGTCAAGCGGAACATTTGTTATCGTTCAGGCACAAACAATACACCATTTTAAAAAAAGATAGCTATAGGCGTTATCATAATTCATAAAAAGTCAATTTTTTTGAAACCACACTTTGTTAGAAGTTTTTAGTCCACGATATAAGCTGCAAGTTTAAAAAACTTAAGTTATCATTGGGACACAAGACATATTTTCATTAAGGCGCAGAAATCTTGAACAGTAAATAAAAAAAAACACAAAATTGAATTTGAGATGTATTTTATTATTCATGGCATTATGTTTAAATATATGAAAGATTATTTCTAGTGTTACTTAATCGTCATTTGGAAAACCAGCATAGTTCCGGTTTTTATTTTTTAAATATAAAGGATATAACACTTCCATTAAAATAAAAAGAATTGATTTTGTTGTCCATGCCATTCTTTCAAAAACTCAAAAGATTTTGGTCAACTGATAATTTCCTTATCGTCCAATAGGGTAACAGACGAGCAAATAAACAAACAGACAAAAAGTAGGAGTGAAATGCGTTTCTTCAATTTCATACAATTCATAAATAAATTGACACCCAGAAATAAAAAAAAAACCAAAACCACATATTCATGAAACTAAAGATCTTTAAGTGACCGTAACTACCTTCAAACTTCAAACATGGTTGCCCTTGCTTTCCAAAAATATATGATTAACGACAAAAAAAGAAGAATGAGCTGGTTAGGCATTTAAGGGAAAGAGTAGATGGCCTATCCCGTCCTTCTTTTTGTATTATTATTTTTAAAACCGTAGGATAAAGCTCAAACAAACAGTGACCCTTTTATTTACGAATGCTCCTAAAATCAGATGTAATCGTGAACTGCTGTAGTTCAGAAGTATATAGGTACAACCCAGAGAGGTTTCATATAAAGTTTTTCGTTATTTAGAAACAAGGTGGGCAATACAGTCTTCTTTTAGTCTGTAGCTACGTATGAACACCTATCGGGTTACTGTCACATTAATGTTTATCCTTCACCTACTCGCTTAACATCCATAACTATCTCTTATCTATCGCATTTGGTCAAACAGTATTTTTAATATGTTATACTTTATAATTTTTCAGTTTATACCTGCAGGTGACCTATTATGTTAGTTAATCTGAATTATGATAATGTAAACGTATATTCTAACTTAAAGTTCTTGTTTTAAAAATACTGGTTTGTTGTATGACGAACTCACATTTGCTACATGCCAATCTGTTCTATACGTAACATTGCTTCCTCCAAAAAGGTAACAATTTGGGCTAATACTTTGATTAGTCAGCTTCGTGTAACCCTCTGGACATGTTGTTGGAAGAGTTTTACAAGGGGCTATAAAGATAGAATAAATGTGTATAACTCTAATGTAGTAGCTGATACTATTTCCTGTTGATTTTTGTATGTTTATTGTTACCTTTAAATCTATAAACATTTGCCTAAGTAACACTACAACCTATAACAGAAACTATTCCAGTGCGCAATACAGTTTTTAATGTAAAATCTGAAAATCTTTGACTCACGAAATTAATAAAATTTATTTTCAATTCGAGTCAAAAAGTTCACTTAGTTAATTACGAAACATATTCAAGCATATAAACCACATAAAACGAGTCCACTTTTGTATTAACAATTTAACATACACGTCCTTTTATACCCTACTCGTGTCAACTACAAACATTCAAGATCATCCAATGTTGATTTTCATAATGATAACTTTATTTGTAAATTACACCCATGTTGTTTAACAAAAATACAATGCAGTTAAGTGCTAACAAAAAACAAGAATTACAAGAATAAGCATTAAACCAAAATCATTATCATGATAATGTAACTTTAAATGTACATAGACCTAATATTGAAAATAGATTGTCCATCCAAAAACTAATGTCCAAAAAACTCCATGCTTTAGACATGCATGATCAATCCAAGTCCATGGAGAAATAATCTAATTATTACATTAAGAATGCACGTGTTTTTGCGCTTATCATACCCAAATCTTTATTCAAAGTATCAGTAATCAGGAAGTAGTTGTTTAACAGGTATAAAGAGCCTCTTCGTTACAACTCACTAACAAAATGCTGACCAAACATTAAGCCATTCTGTTTAAAATAACTCGAGAATAATTCGACGAAAATTTTAAGTTCATTCTCACATAATATTGAAAAATCAAAAGCATGACAAAAAGAAAGGAGGTGTCTTACAGATCCTTAAATGTGCAAAGCCACTGCTGAGCTGCGGATCACTGATGAAATAATTATGTTCAGTAGTATTGGGAAAAAAAATGACGGAAATATCTGTTTGACGACCGGAGGAAAGGAATAACAGTAAAATTAACATTTCTACAGGAAGAATATTACAATATAAGAGAACAAGTAACAATATTACATCAAAAACAGTATAATCTTTCATAAATAGCTGTAAAATAATTGTTTTAATGGGGTAATTATTGACTATTAGAAATTTCATCAGTAACTCAATCTTCATTTTTCAACTGGATAACAAAACAAACGATTATTAATTAAGAACTGTTTCAAGTTTACCTTTACACCTTTTGCACGGATTTTCCTGGTCATGGTACCCATTTTTCTTATACCTTAATTCGTAGTTGTTCTTTGCCTTGCCTTTGCATTTGCCCTTGCCTTGGGGTTTACCTATACAAAATTGTATGTTCAAAATAAATATATTGTCAAAAAAAAGACATTGAAAGTGATTTAAGTCCTGACATTCTGAACTCATATTAAACATATTGAACATGATGGTAATGATTTCTTTTTTGTTGTAATACAAGGAAGACAACTCTTTACTCTCGACAGGATAATAAACTATTCATATATTTCAGGCTTTTAAAATTTTGTTCACCAGACGTTCTTTTCATTTTCAAAAGACTCATCAGTGACGCTCGAAACAGGCAAAAAAATAAAAAGCCAAATAAAGTACGAAGTTGAAGAGCATTGAGAGCACAAATTCCGAAAGCTTTTCCCAAATACAACTAGGGTAATCTGATTCTAGGGTAGAAAATCCTTAGTTTTTCGAAAAATTATCGACTAAAAATCCAATAATAAACTAGCGACGTTTTTTTTTTTTTTTTAGCTCTGTTTGACAAAATCGAACCAAACTGACTACAAATAGCGAAATATTGTTTCAATATTCCGCTAATATAAATGTTTGAAACAAAATACCAAACGTGTGTATACGTTGTGTATGCTTTAAAAGATAAAACTATTAAAAAAACATTTGCAAAATTTAGATGATGTCATGTTATTTCTAAAGTTGTTATTGCTGGTATTGTCCCCAGTTTCTTTACTTCATGTTTCAGGGTTGTGAAGAATAAAATGTTTACAAAATCTAGACAAGGGAAAAAGATATTATATTAGCTCAAAGAAAAACAAAAATATTGAATTGGAAACAAAACACAAGTTTCTTTTGTATTAAACATGTCCTCAAAATAATCATAATCACATTATCACTTTCTTGCTTCATGCATTACTAGGAAAATTTATAGAAAGATTATACAATTAAGTTGAGTCTGATATCTGTCTAATCATGAATCATTTAACCTCTGTCATTTCATAAATTATCAAATCTTTATCCCGTCATGAATTGTCTTGTCTCTGTACCTTCATGAATTATCTTATCTCTATCCAGTCCTGAAATATTTTATTTTATGTCCCGCCATGAGTTGTTTTTTGGTATGAATCAAGTCTGACACTCTTTATTTGAAAAAAATAGTAATTTAAGAAAATTATTAAATGGTCGTAAATTGCATTTTTTTTCTTTTCAATAGACTTTAAAGGAGATGTGGGATATACTTCAATGAGTCAGCAACCTGACCTTAATAACCAAACTAAAAACATCTATGGGGCAACATACAGTCTTTAATAATAGACTGGTGCCATAACAATATGTCAAGACGACTGAATAGAAACTATATCGGTCATTTTTATATTTACCCTCTTTTCTATTACTACTCAAACGTATTAAAGTCGTCAAAAATAATGTCTTTGTAACCCATTATTTTTTTACTTTAAAAAAACACTTACCTTCAGAATGTAGAAAAACTATTAAGCAGAGCAATGCGGCTACAACTTGAAGCTTCATTTCACTCCAATTAGCTTTTATATTTCTGAACGTTGATTTCTGCAAAGTTAAGTTTGCTACAAGCGCTAAAAATCCAGTTTATATTGTTCATAGAAATGTTGAGGAAAAAATAAGAGTATCATGTGTAGCCAATCAAATGTTGACAAATTTTAACACCAGTTCACTCGATCTTTACTTTCTGATAAGTTATTTTTTTCATTATGTTATACATCATAAAAAAAACATCAAAGGTTTGTTTTCATCTGCTACACCATTATTACAGTGTTATGCGTCAGGTGTGAAATTGTGCAGAAAGATATTGTGATAACGTAAAGGAGAACTTTTGTTATTGATGAAGATAAGTCATTCTTTCTTACATAAACAATTCTGTATTTACTTAATAAATTAAATATCAATTTTTTACTAAAAATATTTTCAAGGTACATTATAATACAGATTTCTAATAATTTGAAACAATTAAATGACCAAAAGAAAAACATCCATTGTCTTCGGAAAATGCATAAACCAAGTTAGGAATGTGACAGATGTTCCAGCGTCCCGTTGGTTGGTATTGTCGAGGTTTTATAGATTCCGCCCTCTTTGAATTTACCTGGAAGTTCAGTATTTTTCTTAATACATCTTTTATCATTGCTTTTTTTGTTCTTTGTCATTATTACGAATTTAAGGGTTTGAAGCTTATGAGTTTTGATTTTACTTTGGAATTTTGCGCATCTTTCGCATTTAATGAGTATCAAACTTGTAATATTTACTTGAACTAAGGTCAAGTAAATATAACAAATTTGAATTTTGTTCTACTTCTTACCATTTTTTCTAATGCAAGACATCATGGAAGCAGCTAAGGTTAATATTATCAATTGCGATACAAAGATGATATGCACATCAGTGGTCATATCATAAAAGTTCTATTCGGAATTTTAATCTGTGCTGACATGAAATATCATTGAAATGGTAATTTGTTTAGTTTACTGCATTTTTATGAGATAGTGAATCATTTGAAACACTGCGCTTTTTCTACCTTCAGGCATATGACTCCGTGTTGAAGGCCGTATTTTGACCTATAATGGTTTACTTTTACAAATTGTGACTTGGATGGAGAGTTGTCTCATTGGCACTCAAACCACATCTTCTTATATCTATATGAGGCCGTAGCTAAATTTGGCATCTTTTTCAATTTGTTTCAATGATCTTTAATGTAATATTTGATTTCTGGCCATTACACTGTTGTAATTCGAACGTTCGTCTAATGTAGACATAACACACGTCTGGCATGCTTAATTGTAGGTCTGTTATCTTTGACAACCACAAGGTCGATGCCACTGATAGTAAAGTAGACCGTTAGTTTTATCAATTGATTTTTTTTTTCAATTTAAGGTGTCAGAGCTTTTTAAAGCCGAATATACGGTATTGTTTTTCTCATTGTTGATGGTTTAAACGGTTGCCAATAATTGAGTTCATCCTTTTCATTTGAACTTTGGTGAGTAGTTGTCTCATTGGTAATCATACCACATATCGTTATCTTTATATGGATGGATGCGATGAATAACTTTTAGTTGGGGCAAATCGATAAATCATCTATGCATGTTTTATTTGATTGTATTCTCCCATTTTCGTTATAATTTTTTCAGCAAATCTAGTCCAATTTATTCCATAAATCATTTTGTTAAAGGTACTTTAATTTATTAAGGATTATCATGTTTGATTAATATGTGTAAACTTAAGGTAAATTAGAGCAAATGATTTCCGTATATTGGCGCAAATGAAACATCTTAAAAATAACAATTGGCGCTAAAGGACTGCAGCTCATTTTTGTAGATCTTGTATTACCGACCACTTTTGTAATTTAGAGGTTCTGTCTGTTTATTATACTTTTCAAGAACAGCAATAACTAGGTAAACATCTTCATTAAAAGATAATAATTACTGTAAGCACTCAGTTAATTGCTTCAGTCATATTAGCGTTTTAAAAGATTTTATATATTTAGCAATTTTTGGTTATTTAAAATTTTACCTATCTATTATAGTTTTCAAGATAAAAACAAAAAAAAAAACAAAAACAAAAATTGTCAAAAATCTGTATACTAGAGCATTACTACACATCAGTGGAAATAAGCAGTAGGTCGATCTCGACTTTTAGCATGTTCGCCTCATGGAGAATTTTCTTTTTCTATTATGGTTTCAAGATATAAGTATATTGATGTATTTTACCCTGACGTTTTATTTTTAGACAGAGCGGCAATATTGGTCCCCTTGCAGGAACAAAAGCAATTTAAAATAACTCATCTTCGTAAATTTTCTATATTTTCTTATGAAATACCTCTATAGAAAATTGAAAAGTTTTGTTCAATATCCCTAACTGAGAATATTTTAATGGATGAGTTTAATAAATTGTATTTCAAGATAAATTCATGTTATTTTGTTGTAGCGGATTGCTATTAAATTAGCTCATTGGTATTGATTTCATGACGATTGCGATTTAAAATAAATGATCTAAGTAAATGTTTTATATTTTAAAAAAAATACCTTTATAGAAAATTAAGATAAATGGTTTTTGTTTAATGTCCCTAACTGAGAATGTGTTCATGCATTAGTTTGATAAATTGATAAATGTATTCAAAGATAAGGTAATGTTATTTTGATGCAGCAGATTGCTATCATATTAGCTCATTAATATTGATTTCATGACGATTGTTTAATCCACCATTTTCTGCATAAGAAAATGCCTGTACCAAGTCAGGAATTTGACAGCTGTTAATTATTCGTTTGATGTGTTTGAGCTTTCGATTTTGCCATTAACTATGGACTTTCCGTTCAGAATTTTCCTCGAAGTTCGGTATTTTTGTTATTTTATTTTTTCATACAATACAAGAATATTAACGTTTATAGTTCTATCAAATGATATTTTTGTAGTCTCTAAACTCTCTGTTTCCAACACCCTAAGACAGTTTTGTCGTTTCTTCATTATTATTGGTTTTATATTTCTCTATATAGCCTTTATATATAAAAAGAAGTTTTGTTCGTTTTTTGTAGTTCCTGTATTGTTAATAATATTTGCAGTTTACAGTTTGTGATTATTAATGTTTTAAGATACTAAGCAAACTAAGCAAACACATTTTTTCCAATAACTTCATTAAGTGTAGTAACTCCTAGTTGTAGTCACATGCTGGTTTCAGTCATCTTGCCATTTTTGTAGGGCTTGAACTGCTGATCATTGCTACTGTTTACAGATTCTTTACTTTTCAAGATGAGCAAAAACATAAAATTAGTCAAAAATCGTCATTTTAAGGTAATCAACCTCTATAAAGGTCATATAAAGGTTTGTATCATATCAAAATTAATTAAATGAAAGTAAAGACTTTAAATAAAAATAGCTTTTGGAGAGGATGAATTGGTCAGAATATTTTTTTGTTTTTGTTTAAATGTATACATTAAAGGGGCATAAGCTGTCAAGTTCGTGTTCACCGATTTGTTTCAAATTCTAATATTTGATTTGTAACATACTATATATAAATAAGAAGATGAGGTATGAGTGCAAATGAGACAACTCTCCATCCAAGTCACAATGTATAAAAAGTTAATTTTATAGGTCAAAGTACGGCCTTCAACACGAAGCCTTGGCTCACACCTAACAGCAAGACATATGAGCAACTTTTAAATATAAGTCATGCGGACACTTATTATAGCTTTATTTTGCAAAACCTTTCTGAGTTCAGCACACCTGTGTTGACATAAATTATCATTTATATGGTCATAATTATATAAAAAAACTGTTTACAAAACTTCGAAGTTTCGAATTACTAAGGATTTTCTACCACAGGAATAGAATACCTTAGCTGTATTTGGCAAAACCTTTCTGAGATTTGGGTCCTCAATCCTCTTTAACTTCGTACTTTATTTTGGCCTTTTTAACTTGATTTGATTCAAGTGTCACTGATGAGTCTTTTGTAGACAAAACGCGCGTATGGCGTTCAAAATTTCTTATAATTTAGTGACCAACTTTATTTTGAATTTTATGATTCAGTTTAACAGCTTCAGACATACTAATGATTTATCTTTTTCAACTGGACCAAATCATTACTTAACCTAAAAATTCATCGTTTTTTAAACAAGTAATGTCATCCCCCTACTTACTATTTGATGCATTAAATGTTAAGAAATTAAGAAATACATTTTAAAGGTGTATGGAAAAAGATAGAAGTTATACACGGTCTACAAAAGGTAGAAACCTGTGATTGGAACGTAATAAGACACAATCCAAAGACAATTCGACACCGTTGTATGACATTTCAGTATCACATCATTTTGGGACCAAGACGATTCGGCACCTCATTGTTGTCTATACAATTACTGTTAATATATATATCATGTATATATTCACCATGATGATAAACGGAAAGGCATATTTGCAATAAAATAACCTAAACCAAATTGTTTATGTTTGAATCTATAAATCAAAACGTATGAATTGAGTGTGAAGTTTTTCCGCAATGAAGATCTTAATTTAACAGCTAGTCTTTGTAGGTGGTGATTTTTTAGATTTATTTGTGATTAACATTTCAACTGTTAAGCTATAACGTGCAAGCCATATTGAATATTATCCAGTATAACTGTTTGGATGATCAATAATGAATCAGGTCTGAAAGCTGAACGTGCACAATAAACAAAGTAGCTTTTATTCATTGTGAGGAGCCAATTTGTATTGATTTCGAAATGTCTCTCTTGAGTGCCAAAATGTCTTTTACATGTGCTGAAATGTCCTCGTGCTGATTTGTCTAGCTGCCGAAGTGTCTATATAATTCTATTGGAACATATGAAAAACATAATGATAAAAGAACTGAAACTGACATAAACTGCAATTGCTTTATATACACATTCAAATGTATAAATGATACTTTAATTATAATCAGTGAATTGATATTGATATTAATGTTACTTGGATTCTTATAATAACAATCATGATAACAGTGCAACCATTGAGTGCGACATATTTTTTTTTGTTTCAATACAAAAATATGTCAGTGTGTGTGTCTATTTCTGTTTCGAATAACTTGACTTACATTTTGTTTAGTCAATTCATTAAT